CCACGCCCCGCCTCCCGCGGTTCTCCGAAGAGCTCCGACAGGTCCAAGAGCTTCAGCATAGACAGCATCCTGGCGGGAAGGCAGAGCCAGAAGCCGGCCGGAGGGGACGGGTTCCCGGGGGGCGCCAAGCCGGGGCCCGCCGGCCGTCTGGGAGCCTCGCTCCTGGCCGCGTCCTCCAGCCTCCGTCCGCCTTTCAACGCTTCCCTGATGCTCGACCCTCACGTCCAGGGCGGCTTTTACCAGCTCGGGATCCCTTTCTTTTCCTACTTTCCCCTGCAGCTGCCCGACACAGCGCTCCACTTCTAGTAGAGCCAGCAGTGTTGCCTTCCTCACCGCCCGGCCGCGGATCCCACCGGCGGGGCAAGGAGCCACGTCCTTTCCAAAGCCTACTTGGCCTGTGCGGGCCTGTGGGTTCCGGGAAGCGTCACCGACTTCTGCGCGCAGGTGGGCTGCTCTCCCGCCGCCTCCTCCCAAGCGGACTTTTCCCAGTCACCCGGAGCGCCCTCGGAGACTCCAGAGACCCGATTCCCACGGGGACGTGGGCAGCGCAGACCCCCGACCGCGCGAGCAGGAGAACTCCTTGTCTTTAGGGCGGTCTAGGAGTGCCATCTTCGCGACCCCCACAGGTCCTGCACGTCCGGGCGCGTGAGGGCCCAGCAGACATCCCAGGGCAGTGGGGTCCTTTCTGTGACTGTCCCCAGCCCTTCAGTCTCCGTGGTTTGTCCCAAGCTGGGTTTACCCCCGTCTGATTGTGGGGTGCTGGGTGACCCCGGTTTTTCAGGAGAGGCAGGGCCTACTTAGAAGCCTCCGAGACAGCAACACTTTAATTTTAATAGATACGTTTCCCCTTAATTTCTTTCCAGACAGTAAAAGGAACACGCTTTATTCTTTGCCTAAATGCTTGACTCTTTTTACTATAAATCTTGTCCTTTGAACATGTCTACACCAGCAGCTTCTATGATGAGCATGCACACCATAGGACTGTAGCGCCTTGCTGCGGTGTGATAGCACTAGTCCACACAGTGGACATCTTGTCCTTTTGCTTTTGTTTTTAAGGGCTGAAAAGATTTCAGGGGACGCGGCGGGAAACATGTGAGGGGGAGGGAAGATGCCTCAGACGATGTCGGTGTTTTGACTTCCCTAGGTTTTCAAGATCCAGGCTTAGTTTTGCTACACTTTTGGGTAATGAAGGGCTACATTTAATCAGAAAAGTTGGGTGACACAAACAAACAAAAAACAGATGGAGAGGGAGAGTAAGAGAGAGAGAGAGAGAGAGATTAATGTAGGGGAAGAATGAGGAAATCTGCCGGACTTGAGGGACTTGGTGGCAGGAGATACTCCCAGCCTGCAGGCCACTCCTCCCTCCCACCCCCTGCCAGGCAGGCTTGAGTCTGAAGCTAAATAAACACCTTAAAGAGGTGACTAGAAGTCTGGGAAGGGGAGAGCAGGGATCTGTAACAAAGATCTAGTTAAGAAAAGAGAGATTTTCACAGCCCAGTTCAGCCTGGCACTCTGGGGAAAAGCACCCTACCCGCCTTGAGGTGTCTGTGTTTGGGTTATCTTGGGGGTTCTGAGACTCAATTTTCTGAACCTCCAAGTAACTTTTATTTTATCTGATGTGCACAAGGCACAAATAGTCATAAATTCTTGGAGGTGGGCTTGGAGGGGGCCTTTAAAAAAGCTTTTGTAAAATAAATAGTTTCCAGGACTTGTCTGAAAACAGTGACAAACTTTAAATGAAGAGGGCCTGCTGGTCACTCTGTTGGAAAGGCCTTTCCAGGCAGGTGTGGTCATTTAATAGCTAGTAGGCACAGAGCTTGCTTTCTGGAAATCCAGTCTTGCAGCCATGCTGAACTGTGTGCTTCTGACACATACATGATTCCACGGTGGGCTCTCCCCAGGCTGTGGGGAGACTTCGGTGAGCTGCAGAGTGCCTGCCCTTCATTTGAAGAGCTTTGATGAGAACCCATTGCTGAAATCCAGGCTCACTGTGATTCGCTCAAAATGTGGTGGAAGGGCTGTCACTGGATATTTTGTTATCCCAAACCCTCAGCCTTTGTGAATAAAGTTGTTTTTTCATTAACCTCTCAGTGACTGGTTCAGTGGATTACTGGGGGGAAATAAACAAACAGTGTAATCAAAAGAGGAGGCTGGGATTATGCTTGAGCATCACGTCAGCATCTCAGGAGGCTCTGGCTTCCAAGGGGTGAACACACGGACTGGGGTCAGGAGGGGAGAGGCTGTGGGAGGGGATGGGAAGCTGCCTGGACCCCCGAGAGCAGGATGGGCAGTGCTGCTGAACTGGGTAGGTTGTTAATTTTTCCTCCATCCTTTTTGTGTGTGATGTGCTATTTTGTGTGTTTTTTGTTAATTTGTGATGGCCATTTCTTGAGAAAGCAAATCATTTAATATTGCTATTTAAAATAAGGGATCTTAGAGTTACAATTCAAAACATTACAGTACAAACGTAAACTTGATGGCACAGAAAAAATGCAGGGATATGTGTCTACTTTGTGAGTTTGTACACACATAAAGAGATCTTCTAGCTAATCCCCATTTTTATCTGGATTGGAAAAGCTGAGAGAAGTAGACAGTGAGATCATTTTTATGTAATCTATACTATTTCTTGTGTATTCTTCCTCCGGGACCAAATAGAGGGACTTTGGGTCTTAGTAATCCAAATAGCTGTTCTAATGTCTAATTTTGGCTCAAAATTATGGTTTAATGAGACCAAGAAATAGTTTCTTAATTAAAATCTCAGCTATGTTTGGGGTAAGACGGAAACAAACTTATCATTCTACCGTTACACAAGCTGAAACTCTACCTCCCTGCTCTCATCTAAACAAAGGAAACAGATTCTATTTTCTGTCAATGATTTTTGGTCCAAGCCCCAATTACACACACACACACACACACACACACACACACACACACACACACACACACACACGTGTGCACTGATGAATACACTGATTCTAATGGGGATGTGGCAAGCCCATGTATAATGATAAATGAGTATGTATACATATGTAAACATGTGTGCATGTGTCTGTGTGAATATATGTATGCATGAATGTGTATATATGTACATATGTGTATGTGTGTGAATATATATTTTGGTTTTGTGCATATGAATGCTCAGAACATTTATCTTTTTGCATGTAGGTGGGACTCAGATCAAATGCTGAGTTTTTTCAAAGTTACCAAGGACTGACACTATTTGAAAGATTCTTTTTTTATATATAGTTTTAAAACATATCATTTCTATGTAGCCCTAATAATTGTGCTTTTTTATATAGTTTGAACCAGAGATAACTTTTTTTTTAACGTTATTATAGTGAAACTGACAAAGACTTTATAAAAGATTTTGGGAGCCACACCAGCTTTGAGAACTTTCCTTCCATGATTTTTCAAGGGCAAAGAACATTGCCAAGGCCTTTTTCCCCCCACCTGGAGATTTGCTGGTTCTCTTAGAAGCCCATGACCTTCTAGTTTCCAAGCACCATCAGATTTTTGAGAACCTGACCAGGACCTGGGTAGCCGTTTTTGGATATAATCATCCCGCCTTGGGATGGGGGCTATGTGTGGCCTTTCCTATTTCTCACAGACTGTGCGTGTGTGTCCACGTGTGTTAAAACATTAGCCACATGTAATTATTGCTACGGGTGGAAACCAGAGCCAGCCTGCCCAGATGTTGGTAGACTGTTGTTAACATCACAAACATGAGTGACACTTCCAGCTACCTGCTGCCCCTGGCGGGTGAGAAAACCCAGGGAGAGCCATGATTTGTGTGTTTCCTGGCTTCATGATGGCTAGAGTCTTGGTTCCAGGAAGTAAAGGTTGTTTGATGGAATGAAAACTACAAATGATAAACAGCAAACTTTATTATTAAACACAAAGAGTACGAGCTCCTTAGGGAAGTAAACTTCTCTTGATCCACATTGAACGCAGTTTAAGCCGGGTATGGTGGCTCATGCCTGTAATCCCAGCATGTTGGAAGGCAGAGGCGAGAGAATTCCCTGAGCCCGGGTGTTCGAGACCAGTCTGGGCAACATGGTGAGACCTTGTCTCTCTACAATTAATCAAAAATTAGCTGGGTGTCGTGGTTGAAATGGAAGGATGGCCTGAGCTCAGCAGCAGGTAGAGGCTGTGGTGGCTGGGAGCGTGCCACTGCACTGCAGCCTGGATGACAGAGTGAGACTCTGACTCAAACACACACACACACACACACACACACACACACACACACACACACACAGAAAGAAAGCAGCTTAAAAATATGCCATAGCAGCCTCTGCTGGTCCTCTGCCAGAGGCCCTGAGTGCTGGGTGCTCCAGGGCTTGGGGAGATCCCACAGGTGTCCACAGTGACCAGAGTGGGGCCTGGCCATTGAAGTGGACAGTCACGGGGAAAGGGCTGCACGGGGGTGGATTCAGGTTGAGGATTCTGGTTCAGGATATACACCATGGGGAGCCAATGGCATCCGGGCTGTCTTCATTTACACTGGCAGCAGGGAAGGAGTGGGGAGGGGAGGGAAAGATTTGGCCCCAGTCTCTTTTTTCCATCTGGTACAGGAATTAGAGGCCTGGCAGGAAATAGAAACCCACTTAGATGGGTCAGTGGAATCAAGTGGGGTGGAGGGAGAGTTATGGGGGCATGGGCTGGGTAAGCCACCAGGGTCTAGCAAGGGGAAGAGCCACTCTGTCCTCCCCACCTAGGATCCTCTCCTGCAGGCACTACCTTCAGAGCTGGTGTGGAAAGGGGGCTGCAGTGCTGGGGCAGACAGGAGAGAGGAGAAACACTCCAGCTCTCTTCCCTGCCCTCCAGCCTCTGAGTGGTAGGAAACCTGCTGGAAGTCTAGTCTGCACAGGGACCCAGGTGATGCAGCCAGTGGAGGTCACCCTGTAGGGCACGAGGGGCTGAGTGTGGAGCAAGGTGGGGGTGGCCAAATAACAAGGCCAGCACAGCAGGGGTCTTTCCGCTGGGCTCATTGGTGGCCGCTGCCTTGACCACACCATTGATGTGCAAGAGCCAAGGCTGGGTTGGGAGGCCTCAGACAATATCGGCAGCTGCATGTGGCATTCAGGAAGACTGGATTCTCCTGCTTGGCCAGCTTCCGGGAGCAGATGGCTCCAGACCTGAAGCTGGGACCCTCTTAGGTGGGTGGGACCTGGGTCTGAATTCAGTTTCCCTGAGGCCTCCACTCCACAGTCTCTGCCTTCACAGAGGACTTGCCAAGGTACTGTGGGGCTGGAAAGATTTGCCCTTGGCTTTGTGTCAGTTTGTTGAGCAACTAAAACAAAGTT